GGCGATCAGATCCTCCAGATCGATGGGAAGAACTGCGCCGGGTGGAACATAGAGAAGGCAAAGCGGGTGCTGAAGAAGGCCTCGCCGGAGAAGATCGTTATGGTGGTTCGGGACAGGTGAGGATTGGGAACTGGGGACAGGGGTCCATTTTATGCCCAGTGTGACCACATTCCTCACCTATGAGATTTCTGTCCAGGTGGTCTCCTGGAGCAGGGGTCGCCAACCTTTTGGACCTCAGGGACCACCAAACTCATCATTTTAAAACCCAGAGACCCTGGGAAAATCCCCCCCAAAAGTCTGCAGGGAAATTCCCCACCCCGTTTTCCTACTGATCGATTATTCTTTATACCATCTCCAGCTCCTTTCTCAGGGGCAGAGAGAGAGAGAGAGAGAGACTTTTGGCTTCATGCAAGGAAAGCAGCAGAAGCCGCAGAAGTCTTTCTTTCTCTCCCCCAAACTCCGCCAGAAATGAGTCTTTGCCGGCGCAGCCTCTTGGAGCAGGAGGCCTTGCAGGGTCCCAAAGACTCATTTCTGGAGGAGTTTGGGAGAGGGAAAGAAAGACTTCTGCTGCTTTCCTTGCATGCAGCCAAAAGCAGAAGAAGAAAGAAGCGGAAAGAAGCAGCCCGGTAGCGGGGCCAGGCGCGTGGGGCGAGTGGAGCAAATTCCCCCCTCCTCCCTTTCCCCCCTCCCCTCACTACCTCGTGTTGTTCACAATGCAAGCGACTCAAGCCTTGTGTTCCCGCACAGCCTGGATTAATTGCTTTGGGGGTGACATTTCTCTGCGGATCACCAAAATTTTCTCATGGACCACTAGTGGTCCCCGACCCACTGGTTGGCAACCACTGTTCTGGAGACCACTGACAACTTCTCAACAGAATAAAACTTGAAGGGGCTTTGGAGGTCTTCTAGTCCAGCCCTCTGCTGAAGCAGGAGACTCTATACCATTTCAGACAAATAGCTGTCTAGTGTCTTCTTAAAAACCTCCGCTGATGAAGGACCCCCAACCTCTGGTGGCGAGCAGTTCCACTGGTTCATTGTTTTCACTATCAGGAAATTCTACCTTAGTTCTAAGTCGCTTCTCTCCTTGGTCCATTTCCATCCGTTGGTTCTTGTCCTGCCTTCAGGTGTTTTGGAGAATAAGTTGTTCTCCTTTTCTTTTATGGCAGCCCCTTAAATCTTGGAACATAACTATACCCGGAAACCTTGATGACCCCATGGAAGGATTCCGGTGGCTTGTAGGATGACCATAATATTAAGAACTTTCCCATTTTTTCCGTGTCTGGCCAATTCCTCTCAAAATATGGCGGAACAGTTGTAGGAAGTGAGAAAACCAAAGAAGGACCAGGGGTGACAGGATAGCAGCCTTCCAATATTTGAGGGGCTGCCCCAAAAGAAGAGGGAGTCAAGCTATTCTCCAAAGCACCAGAAGGCAGGAGGAGAACAAACATCTCAGAAATCAACGGTAGTTGTTACACATTGAATACAGTGAGTCCTTGGAGGAATTGGGTAGGTCTAGTTGAATGAAAAGAAGGACCAGGGGAGACGTGATGGCAGTGTCCCAGTATTTGAGGGGCTGCCCCAAAAGAAGAGGGGGTCAAATTATTCTCCAAAGCCCCTGAAGGGCAGAACAAGAAGCAACGGATGGAAACTAATCAAGGAGAGAAGCAACCTGGAATTCAGGACAAGATATTAAATCATAAGGAGAGATTTCCTATCGGGGAGAACGATTGACCGGTGGAACAACTTGCCTCAAGAAGTTGTGGATGCTCCAACACTGCAGCTTTTCAAGAAGAGACTGGACAATCAGTTGTCCAGAATGATATATAGGGTCTCCTGCCTGAGCAGGGGGTTGGACTAGATCAGGGGTCGCCAACCTTTTGGACCTCAGGGACCACCAAACTCATCATTTTAAATCCCGCGGACCAGAGATCCTGGGAAAATCCCCCAAAAAGTCTGCAGGAAAATTCCCCACCCCGTTTTCCTACCGATCGATCGTTCTTTATTTGGGATCGCAGGATACTGTCTCCAGCTCCGTTCTCAGATGTGTGTGTGTGTGGTGGGGGGAGAGACTTTTGGCTTCATGCAAGGAAAGCAGCAGAAGCCGCAGAAGTCTTTCTTTCTCTCCCCCAAACTCCGCCAGGAATGAGTCTTTGCCGGCGCGGCCTCTTGGAGCAGGAGGCCTTGCAGGGTCCCAAAGACTCATTCCTGGCAGAGTTTGGGGGGAGAGAAAGAAAGACTTTGGCTGCTTTCCTTGCGTGCAGCCAAAAGCAGAAGGAGAAAGCAGAAGAAGAAAGAAGCAGCCCAGTGGCCAGGCCAGGCGCGTGGGATGAGTGGGGCAAGTTCCCCCCCTCTGCTCTTTCCCCCCTCCCCTCACTCCCTCGTGTTGTTCGCAATGCAAGCGACACAAGCCTTGTGTTCCTGCACAGCCTGGATTAATTGCTTTGGGGGGGACATTTCTCTGCGGACCACCAAAATTTTCTCGCAGACTACCAGTGGTTCCCCAGCTGGACTAGATGACCTCCAAGGTCCCTTCCAACTTTGTTCTTGTCTGTCGATTGTCGAAAACCAATATTTCAATTGCAACAGTCAGGAGAGAGCCTGACCTCAGTTTTCCCCCCACACCCGTGTTTGCTAGACCTTTCCAGCGAACGGTGACCATGCATAAAGACAGCAGCGGCCATGTGGGTTTCGTCATTAAGCGGGGCCAGATCACCTCGCTGGCCAGAGACAGCTCTGCGGCCCGGAACGGGCTCCTCACCAAGCATTACATCTGCGAAGTGAATGGACAGAACGTCATTGGCCTGAAGGTGAGCATTGATGCTTTTATGGTGGTGAAGAAAGCTTGGATGACTTAAAGCCTCTGTCAGGATTCCGGCAGTCACCCCCAATTAAATCACGAGTCTCAAGCCAAACTTCCAAAACTTAAAAAGGATTTATTGGGAATTAACATGCCGGCACTGCCTGGGGGTAGCCGACTCTGAGGCACATCATTCATTGTCACCCTTGATCCTGGTTTTCTCCCACCCCCTGGGTGTATCATAATTCCTATTCTCCAATGGGACACCTCCATAGCCAAGAGTCATCAATCACGCTCTCCAGCTAGAATTTTGCACGGCAGAAACTTCAGTCTCCTAGTTCCTATCTTTGAAAACATTTATGGAATGCACTTTCGGTTTGCAAGCTGCCGCACTGCTCCCCCCTCCCTTTCTGTTGGCAACTCCAAAAAGACCACAGAAATATTTTATGAGTTGACAGCCTGTTCCAGGTCTTCAGGACTAGAAACTTAGCTGTTTTTTTAAAAAGTTGCCTTATGCACCTATGTTTATAGTCTAGAATACAGGTAGTCCTCGGCTTATGACTGCAGCTAGAATTCCCATTGCTAGACCAAGATGACTGTTTGGCGAGTCACACCCGACCGGCGACCTTCGTTGCCCCCATTGTTAAGCGAACCACTGAAGTTGTTAAGCGAATCGTACGGTCGTTAAGTGGAATCCAGCTTTCCCCCACGGACTCGGCTTGTTGGAAGCCGGTGGGGGAAGGTCGCCCATAGCGATTGCGTGACCTTGGAACCCAGCGACCGTCGTTAAAGTGATGCCAGTTTGCGGAGAGCACAAATTTTGATTGGTGGAAAGTACCCTAGTAAATATGAACAGTCAGTAAATGAATGGTTGCATAAGTTGAGGACTTTCTGTTAATATCATCCATCACACCAGGGTGGAGTGATGCAGTCAGGAAGAAACCAAGCAGGTTGTGTTGAAAACCTCCATATTCGTGTGTGTGTGTGTGTGTTTTGAGGTTTCCAAGTGATAAAATCCATTCAAAAAGAAAAGAGCAAATTCCATCTTGCAAGACATTTTTTTTTTAATTTAGGAAAACATCCAATTGGCAAAGTCCATGGTAATTCCAGATCTGACACAACCCGGAATTACCCCACAATATTACAAGTTAGAAACAACCCCCAAAAGTCACAGTCTCCAATAGAAGTAATTCAACGTTGCTTGATGTCATAAATCTTCACCTCAAGGGGCCCAAGCACGGACAGCTCATTTTCCCACGGGAAGAAGAACCACCTAGCCAAAACAACTCTGTTTATCTCCACTCCTCCCCCCCCTTGGGAAGGGGTCAACCCCCAAACCCTCCCCCCCCCCCCCATGACTGCCACAGAGAAAGTAACGAAAAGAATATATAACTAAGCCTAACTAAAATGGCTACACGTATCTCAATTCCGGGCTTGACAGGAGGTGCGCGTGTGTGTACACGTCAAGGGTGGGATGCAAATATTTTTATTACCGGTTTTGTGGGCAGGACTAGATGGGCGTGGCTAGGTGGGTGTAGCCATGTGACTGGGTGGGTGTGGTTTGTTTTTGTGCAGCACCCTCCCACATTGTTAAGCCTGGATTCCCCAACGGGTGTTAAGGAAAACAAACTAAACAGAACGTGCAGCGAAGTCAGATAGGAAGACAGGTAAATGTGTGAGATAAGTTTTTTAGTTAACACGCAGTAAAAATACAGATACGCTTGTGCTATCAAAAATATTGTTTATTCCATTTAAGAATTATAGCATAGTCAAATAAACGGTCCATTAGTCATATATCAATTTCAGTCAAGTCTTGTTGAGGATACTCTATTTGCAAAATCCGTGTTGAATAGCCAATGTCAGTACACTTACAATAAATCAGTCCAATCTTTATCTTCTCTCCGTTGAGAAAATATCAACACTCCTTCTTCTGCAAGAACGCAGTCATCAATCCATCCAGTAATTAGGGATCAGTAAGCCAGAGAGATCGAGCTGCAATTGCCTCGCTTCTTATATAGTGCTTATACAACCACACCCTTAATTACATTCTTGCTGTTAAAGTTACACACACTTTAACTAACAAACCATGATACCATATTTATTATTTTTACCCAAACCAGTTAGGGTAAAC